AAATGGGTTTCATATTCATTTTTCCTTGGTAACTTTAATTGATTGCGAGACATGGTTCCAACTCGTGCTATTGTTGGTTGCTGCAGATGTTTAATTCATTAATTGGCACTTGCTGGTGCCTCTTTGTTTAAATGTATCATTTTGCCTGGGACCTATAGCGAATGGGCTTGTATGTACATTCATTGTCTTTCAAATCCTCCTTGATCCTCCTATAACGAATGGGCTTCTTCTATTCCTGCAATAGTTACTGCAACGAGTAGATCCTACTTTTCCTGCAACAGTTACTGTAGACTTAACACATATCAAGATATTGACATATCAATTTCCAAATCCAGTCTAGTCTGCTGTAAAGAAGATTTTTGAGTATTAGAAATAAAGACTTCCAGGCCTTGTTGATGATAGACCACTACTAGTTCTTGACTCTTTTATCTGTACTGTTGCTTGAAAGATTATTAACCAGCGGCTAATGCCACCAATTTAGATGTGATAAAGCATAGCATTCTAACTAAAGTCATGACTTGGATTATGGGTTGAAAGTTCTTGGATATATGAGCCCCATATGTTAATAGATATCCTTTGTTCAAAGCCGCCATAGAATTTTCAAGATTCCGACAGGCATCAACTGCATAAGGTTCCAACATATAATTTTCGAGAAAGCTTTCTGAGGCAAAATATTCTCTTCACTATTTTTTTTATCCAAAATCATCAAATCAAATATACTTATACGGTGGCATTTACTCCTACATAGATCAACTCGAGTACAATTTTGAAGTCCTAGCAAAGGCTTTACCATAATTAATCAGTAGGCTTTGATTTTCTATCCCCCAAAAGCAATATATTGCTAACTTGGTATTTCTCCTTAGTTTTAACATTCGTAGAAAGCACCCAATTAAAAGCGCGATGGAGCAAATCAGAGCCTAAGGAATACCCAAATACAAAAGACCCAAAACAACAAAAATGAAGGGCTCTTTTGTGCTTTCCCCTTCGTTCAATGGCACTCTTGCCAAGTCTCTTTACCCCTTCTTCAGCTGTTGATGACATTGGTCAGCTTAGAAGTGGCAAAATGGATTCATATCCACCAATCCATCCATATAAACCAACCTTAAATGGATTTGGATTATCCATATAAATTCAATGGTTTTAAATGGATAACCATTTAAATCCAATTATGTTGGTGGATTTAAATGGATTATCCATCTTATCCATATACATCCATTTAACTTAAAAAATAGAAAACACATTTATAAAAATGTGAGATAAAATCTTGTGGGACCATCTATTCTTTTCTTCATAACTTCCTCATATGTCAAATTAATTTTGTGGGACCACCTATTCTTTCTTTCATAACTTCCTCACATGCCAAGTTGCCAATAACATTAATTACATTTTATTTGCTTCTAGTTCCTAGACTTCTTCCATACTTTTCAAAATTATATTTTAGTCTCTACTCTTGTTTTTTTTAATTAAACTCTCATGTAGTAATGATTGCAAACATTTATATTCTTAAGTAAAGAAAAAGCGAGAATGCATCATGCAGTGTCAAAATAATTTTTATTTTTTTAATTCTTTTAATTATAAAAGAATTTTTCTAACGAGTGTCCCCGCAACATTGGCTAAGATATGTAAATGACACCTTTTTTTTTTTTTTTCCAAATCCTCATATTTTCAATCCCTCTCCCCTTATCACCCAACCCAACTATCCAAAAAATATATATATACCTAATTTACTAAGTAATATAAGGTAGCTTGTATATCAATGGTATAATAAGGAGTTTTATATATGTTTAGGTACTACGTGCACATGTGATGAAAATATTTTACTTGTCAAATAACATAAGATTTCTTATTAGAACTCCACTTTTATTCAAGACATCACTCTTGAACAGGAGTGCAAAAAATTGGAAACGTAAACTTTTTTTCACTGTAAAGCCGTATTCAATTCATTCAAAAGTTATAAAAATATAGCTAAGTTTTTAATTGTTCATTACTTTACAAAATGATACTTAAAGTAATGACGAAAGGTTAAATTGACCACAGCAGTTAAATTTTCTTGGAACTAAACTAATTTTATGAAGAACTGAAATAAAGTAATAGTACAAGCATTTGTTATTACCAAAAGGTTTTAGGTGATTTAAGGATAAAACTTTGGGGATCTGTATTTTTTAGAAAAAAATATTTGGATCTTAAATTTAGGATTTGGAAGAGTAAATGGATAAATGGATGGATCATGGTTTACACTATCCATTTAAATGACATCCATTTAGATCCATTTATTAAATGATTTTAATTGGATTGGATCAATTTGATCCACTATCCATTTAACTAAAACCGTTTATCAACCATATATCCATTTTGCCACTTCTAGGTCAGCTCTTGCCAAGGATCTATATATGTTTCTGTCAATGGCTTGGAATTTTTTTTTTCTTTTTCCCGTATTCCAGTTCGTTGCCTCGTTAGCTTACCCTTCAAATATCAACACCATGTTAAATATGGAGATGATGGGAATCCGAGATCAGTTTCCATCCAGATCCCCTAGAATATGTTCATGTGATCAGGCTAAACCTCCTGAAAGCCGATGCCAATGTTGCATGTTTTGTGCAAAAGCCTCCTCCTCCACCAAAGTAAACAATCTTAAACTATTGTAACAAGGTTTTTTGTTTTCCTTTTTTTTTTTAAATATGCATTGTTTGGATAACCTTGTTATAATATACATCATAACATGAATAACAACAGTAAGCTTCGTGTAACAGGTTGATTTTGCAAGATCGTGTTTGTCTTAGACATTCACAATTAGTCACTGTTGGATCGGTTCTACGAGACAAATGTCCATTTGCAACATTTTGTGTTAATCTTTGGAAGCTATAAGTAAATATAAAGGTCATGTATTCAAATCTCGCCGTCGATGTAAGAATTGTGTTAGTAGGTAATTTGTAAGAATTTCTGTAAGCGACCTATAGTATCGAAGGCATGCCCTGACCTGTAATGATTGATCGAAGTTGAATCTATTCAAACTTCTTTCCTATATGAAAAAAAATAAATATAAAGAAGCATTAAGCTAACTAAAATTTGAATGAGAAACGATATTTTGGGACCTCTTTTTGACTTCTTATAAGTTAAAAGAAAGGACTATGTGAATAAATTGTTAGTTCCACTTAAATCACCAAAAATTAATGTTAATATTCAAGATCATGATACACTGTTCATTTCACATTATTTTACGGGCATACATATTTATGAGAGTCCTTTCACCGAACCAATTGAGAATCCAATTCGATTATCCCTTTTTTGTTTTTCGGTGCTTCCGAATTAACCCGTTTAACAATATATTCAATTTTAACCTTAATTAAATTTTTTTAAAAAAAGAGTTGTGGTATCTTTTTCTGCAGTCTTCCTTTTGGTGGGCCAAGTACACTGGTTTGTACAGTTTAAGGCCATGTTGGACCCACAAGAATAAATACCACCTATGGCAAACTCAGAATCGTGCCTTTTTCTTATCCAGGAGCAAGAAATTGTCCATACTCCATGGTGCATGGTATATTAATCATCAACCAGAAAAATTATGATTAATGGTCAATGGAATTTAAGTTGAGCCAATCATCTCTTCCAAGAACCTTAGTAGTAATAAGATCTTCTGTGTTAGTAAAAGTTAGCAGAAAAGTTTCTAATCACAAGAACTTTCGTTTGCATGCTCAGGTAATATTCCTCTTTCTTCTTCTTCGTGTCATTTTCTGCATGTTCTGATTGTAATTTCATGAAAAAAAATGTCAGATACAGGGGTAAGACAATTTCTGGGTTTTTGTCATTTTCAGAGATGGAGGTGTCAAATACGGGGGATGTCTTCAAAGGGGCGGCACTCAGTGCTTAAACATGTGGTCAAAGAGTAAGAAAATGCTTAAACCTGCATGCGTTTGTGTGTGTGTGTGTGTGTTTTTAATTTGCGAACTTTTGAGCTTTTTGGAATAAAGATGGGATCTTTTTTATTGATAGTGCGTGCTTAACTACCTTGGGAATTTTGTTGGTTTAAATTTGCAGAGGTGAAACTTTGACTTCCATTTCAAAGCTATATGGGGTAGCCATTTATGAAATTGCTGCTGCTAATAAGGACATTGTTGATGTTGACCTTGTTTTTGAGGGCCAACATCTGAACATTCCCTTATCCACTGCAGTACCTTTGCAAATGGTAAATGGTTTTAAGTCCACTATTCTTTCGATTACGTGTTGTCTCTTCATGGTTGGTTTTAATGAGTCTGATTATTGCAACTACCAACCTGGGTCCTGACCTTGAGCTTAGAATTCCTTTATTTTTCTATCATGAAGTGATCACTGGTATTAAATTATTTCATTGAATATTGCTACCCAAAAGGGATTTAGTTTTATGAAACTAGGAAAAAAGTTCTGGACAGTAGTTAAATAACATTTCAATTGGATTTATAGCTTTTTGTGTGGATCACCAAAAGCTTTAATGCTAGGCTAAGTTGGTCAGAAGGCAAGTCTGATGTTATTTCTAGAATTCAAAAGTTAGCTCACATCTTATTCTCATACATATAATTGTTGAGCAAATTGGAACAACAAAAGAAAAAAACAGAAGCGAGTACATCAAAAAAGAAAAAAAAAGTTCTGCTGATGTTACATAGTCTTAACTGCCATAGAATACTTGCATTCCTGGTGTTTGCTGAAGTTTTAAAGCTGACTTCCTTCACGATGGGTATGTTCTTTTGTTGGCAGCAAAAGAGTGAGCGAGCCCTATCATCTGACCCTTCTCTTGATGAAAGAACTTCAAGACTGGAATTGTTTAGTAGCTGCTTGAACCAGAAAATGTTCAGTTTCTTGTCCGTTCATAATTTATCCTATGTGAGCACTTCTTCTAGCGTGCCATGTTGCTTTGCCAAACTGTTTGTCATTTCTCTTATCTGAGCATTGCTTATTGGAACTATATTGCCTTTTCAATTACTTTGTTGATTGGTCATATTCAGCTGATCAATGTGCACATTGTACCAAAATTTAGTAACAGGCTCAACAGACTTGTCAATTTTATTATCAGGCTAAAAGCACTGGTTATTTTCTAGTTCTGGTTCCCCTGATAGCCTTTTGCATCAGATGCATAATTGGTGCCTTATGCAATAGAGTTGCTGGAGATATGAAACATAATGTAAATGAATCAGAAGAGCATCACCATGGATCTAAAAGAATCAGGTGGAAATTTGCTCTTCAGGATTTGAAGGATCCAGATGCACTGGATACTGGCACAAGACCCGACTATGATGTAAGTACCTGATTGAGTTGAACTTATGATGTCGAATCTTGTACTTTCCTGCAATTGATTCTTCAGCATACTCTGGTTTTGCTGTTCCTGCAATTGATTCTTCAGCATACTCTGGTTTAACCCGTTAATTTCTGGCATATAAATGTGGGATCAACATCAATCAACTAGCAGGTTTTCCTATAAATGATTTTATCATCTCCATAAGACTGTGATAGCATAAAAAAGTTGGAAAACTGCGATGGCATAAAATGTCAAAAGCATAGATTGAATGTACATTATACTACTTTGGGTTCAAGACCTGAGCTCTAAGGGACCAAAAGTATTCCTTTTCTTGAAAGTTCTCTGGCTTTGAAACATGCACTTTGAACGTACCTTGATCTTCAACCTACTGAGAAAACTTGAGCTGTTTTGCAGTACCCATCAGAGGATGAAGCTCAGGTCAATACCAAAGATCTTAGTCAGGATTACAGTGAGCTTGAGCGTGATTATGAGAAATTCCTTTCAGAATGTGGAATTAGCAGGTGGGGTTACTGGCGTGGAGGTTCTCCCACATAGGGCATTTCATTTCTTTTGGCACCGCTTTTCAGAGACTTCTTAACATAATTGTCTGCAAGAATGGTGGAAGAATTCCCAAAACAGGTTCAAATGTATATATATGGATATCGAAATCCTTTAGATTACTCGAGTACAAGAAACAGATTGTAAATATTTGTGCAATGATTGTAAGACTTGAGACTAAATTCTCGGTTGATGACAGAAAGCACCCTATCTTACTGGTGAGTAAAGATGAATATTCTACCGTTTCTACCTACTTTGTTTGTTTGGGTTGTTTTAAAAAGCATGGTAAAAAAAAAAAAAAACTCGTGGTAAACATAATATACAAAAAAGTCTCGTGGTTTCAAAACGTACAATACAAGATCTTATGTTTTGAACTAAATTGTAAAGGTGACGGAATCCGTTAATTTTAACGGAAATGGACAAAATGACAAAAATGTCCTGATATAATTAAACAAAAAATAACTCAATAAAACCATTTGTTTTTATTATCTAGAGAAAGAAAATTGAAGGTTAAGGGGTAGAACATGTATATTTATTAAAAAATAAGGTATTTTTTTTTAAAGTTCCAATAAATCATTTCCATTAAGTTTAACGAATTCCGTCATCTTTACAATTTAATTCAAAACATGAGATGTCGTGTTATACGTTTTGAAACCACGAGAAGCTTTTTAATATATTAAGTTTATCACATAAAGCTTTTGTGTTTGACCCAAGCAAGAAATATAAGTATGAAGGTAGGGATTGAATGCTACTACTCTATTTTCAATCGTCATACCACCAGAAGTGTTCATAAATTGCACTCATAATGTGGATAAAATGGTTAAAGTGTAGACATATCTTCATTTTTTTTTTCGACACTGTGGGTATCGGGACCACCTGACTAATCCCACAACGCCTATGCAGAGTGGGTCCGACCAATACCTATGACGGTAAACAACTAGGTTGCGAACTGGAATCGAACCCAGACAGACTTGGAGTAATGACCCCGCCTCCACCATCCGAACAACCCAGCGTGGGCGTGTAGACATATCTTCATGCCACCAGAAGAGTTCACATATTGTAACCCCCTACATTAGATAAAAATGGTTTTAAGTATAAATCTTGCTCTATGGCTGGTACGACTCTGCACCTCTAATGAAATTTGGACTGTTCGAAACCACAGCATAACAATTTCTTTTCTAAACCCCCAAAGTTTCATGTCCGAAGTTACCAATGACGTGCTTTTACCCAGTCAAGAATGCTAAGGACTGGTTGATAATGGCCATGCAACATCTGTAATGCAGTTGGTGTTACAAATCGTGGTTTGGATGATCCCATTGGCATCCGCCCTCCTGGATTTGCCCGAGTTAGAGTACTGTATAACAACTGGCAGCTCCCAAAGTTTAATGACATGCTTTTAGCTAGTGAAGAATGCTGACTGGTTGACAGTGGCAATGCAACATCTGCAATGCAATTGGTGTTGAAAATTGTCATGTCCATGATCCCATTGATTGGCATCCACCCTCCTGGATTTGCCCGAGTTAAAGAGTACTTTATAACAACAGGCAGCTCAAAACCAAGCAGTGTTTCTATAAAGCTCGAAACTGGTTAGGCATCCAATAACAACCCTCGAGAGTCTATGAAGTCATCAAGTTTTACCTAGACTTACTTTCGTTTAATCAAAACAAACAATTTCACAAATAACAGAACAAGTTTACAGATGGTTACACGAATCAGCTATTCAGGACGCTAGAATTAAGCGTTAATGGAACAGGTGGTATGATACTTCATGAATCCAAGTTTGCTATGAGGTCCTGAACTACAGTAGTCATTTTGCGAAGTTGAAGATTGAGAACATTCTTATTCAAACATAGGAAAGTCATCGAACTTTACGGATTTTTTCTTCTTGTCCTATTCCAAGAGACTTCTGAGCAGCAGCAATACCTTCAGTATCTGCAGAAACAAAATTATCAAGTCAATGCAAATGAAAGAGAGATGGAGAAACGGATAGAAGGTAGCTTGCTTGCCCAAATTTACCAAACGGACTCAAAGGAAACCAATAGTTCTCTTTTTACTGAGGTTGAAATACATAAAAAACTGCCTAAAGAATAAAAATAGCAAACTTAAGCAAGGCTGATATAGGACCAAAAGTAAATACAGAGAATTCTACGTAGCAGTTAATTGCTTATCTTTCGTGTTCCTCTGCCTAATAGTTCACTTTACCCTATTTCAGAACTTCACTATTTACTGGTAATGGAAATGAAATAGAGGATATACCAGAATCGCAGAACTCTCAACCATGGACTAATAAAATTGTGTATCTTATGTTTCTTGCAATATAGAAGGAAAAGCAATCCAAAATATTAAAAAAATAATAATAAAAACACAACAAAAAAAAAATTTAAAGAAAATAAAATAAAAACTTTAGATGAATCTCATGACTAATTCTCGAACTGTGCTGCAATTTTGGATGCCTAAACAGTTTTCAAATTACGCTGCAACAGACATCAGATGGCGTGACTTTATTGGTCTGTAATTCCTAATTTAGTTGCCATGATAATCCACCATTTGCATGATCAGTGTTATGGTTTGACCATTCTCCCACTTCTACACTCAAACGACATCAGACGTATGAATAACTGGCTACTGCCACCATCCCCAGCTGGACCTATTTTGTCTTTTATCCATATTTATTTTGCTTTTCCTTTTTGGGTAGGAGGAGGGAGGAGTGGACTAGATACATGGTATGCAATAAAAAGAAAAAAAAAAGGGAAGAACGTATATGAATATAATTATTATCATTATTTTCTGGATTTCGTCTTGGAGTGGAAGGAGGGAGGATGAAATTACATATAAAGCACAGTATTTTATCAAGAAAACACAAAAGTGAACATGTAATGCGGCGAGTATAAGACACCAACACGTAAAGAGACAATTTATATATACTCCCTGACAGCAAACCTTTATTTAGGGGCCAAAAAGTGCAGTATGCATGCTTACCGAAAAATTGGGTAAAGATGCGAGTAAAGAAATTCAAGTTGCGGGAGGCATAGTATGCCATTGCAGGAGGAAGAGGTTTCACAAGAGTATCCATGCTGAATACACGCTGAAGAAACTGCAAACAGAAAAAGAGATTCAAGTTTCATTTAATGACAAACTTTAAAAAGCATAACTGCTTTTATTATTGGGGGACAATCTCTACAAACTGTTGACTGTCATCTCATCTCAAGTGCTTTTCAAGCCCCCAATTATTTTTTATTTGGTGCACTTCCTTATTCTACACCAAAAAGCTGTCATAATCAAAGTTGATATCTTTATCTTGGCATAAAAAGCCTAAAAGCATCAGGGAATTTAGTATTGCAAGGTTCTAATAGCCGTGCAACTTGCTAAATGAAATTAACAGCCAATGCCCCTGTAGTGGACTGAGTTCACCAAGTATAATGAGAAGTCATACATGCATCTTTCTTGCCCATCCTTCTTTTAACATTCAAACTAATCTGAATCTGCTCTACAGCAGGTCAAGCAACACACAAAGCAGGTGCTTCACATGCAAAACCAAGTTTCCAGATTGGATGCAGAATATCATGATAGAATTCAAAATGCTTGGCTGTTTCGCCTACAATACAATTTGAATCCCAGTAGAGTATTATCTATCATCAACAAAGGAACACAGACAGAGATGTCCAAAGACGCGAGAAAATGAATTCTCATGTCATTCTGGGTCATCCAAGGCATCCCTGAAAAGGATACTGTCCACAAGAAATTGCAACCTAATCATCTTGGAATACCCACAGTATATAAGATAAACAAACAGCATGAAACTTAAAAGATCTTAAACCCCAAAAGCAAGGAAGGGAAGCAGAAAAAGAGAGAAAAATTGAGTCCAAAAATATCCCACAATCCATTGAATAGTCTGATCCCACAATTAAGGAAGGAAAGCAGATAATTAGGGGAAAAACAAAAAAAGAAGTGTTGCTCCCAGATTACATGCCCCTTCATTGGTAATTCCTGCACTGAAACAGAACCATGTGATTTCTCAACTGCCAAGTGAAGACATTTATTTCCCTCTCAGTCCACAAAGGCATTTATTAGCACACCAGAGACTCATATTTAGGCTAAGAGATATGCAAGCTACACCCATTTCAAGGTTAGAGTCCTGAAGTTCATCTGAAATTGGTACGAGCACACAATACTGCTAGCCATTGCAAAATATGACAATTCGGTTCACCAACAGAAAATCAAAGGTTAACTAGAACAAGGACTACTGGCCAAGCCAAGATATACCAGCAGAGGAAGAAGAAGAACAGGGAGAATTCAATGGACAAGATGAGATGAAGGCCATGGAACTTGAAGACTGCAATACTAGAACTAGTACTACAAGAGTTGGGCTTTAGCAGTTTTGCATCAATATTGAATGGGGTGCTTGGTTGGAAGAACTAAAGATGAGACTTCAAGGATGATAGAGAGGAGTGGAGGCACTTTGAGAAAGAAAGGAAAAGCGGTGGCACAAGAATAAAAAGGAAATGGAGAAAAAAGTCAGTTTCTAAGGAGATGTTAAGGGCTTCCCGAAACTCTTTTAAACAAAAATGTGTGTTTTTTTGGGCTAAACGCAATATCCCGCCTTAAAAGAGTTGCCCAATTCTCACATTGTCTCCTTAAAGATTCAACTGCATCAATCCCCTCCACCACTTTTTGCTTTTTTCACATTACGAAAATTACCAGAGTTACCCCAAAGTCATTTCAACTTAGGCATGCAAACAGTAAATGTCCAATGAAAAGCACAAATACCTTTACTTCATACAAAACCCAATCCTACTTTTACCCAAACCCACCTCCTCCTCCTACCATTTTCTCCTTTCTCTTAAACTCCCTAACCACCATACCATTTGCCAACTGCAAATACCTCCCTCCTACCCTCCCAACTCACACCACCACCCAAGTTGCGCCTCCATCACGTTTAGAGTATAGTTTTTCCTTTCTTCAGCTTCTTATTTAGATATAAGTTTTTTCAGCTTGCTATT